CGTACAGTATTCCTCATCGAGCACTACAGAGGACATCCTTAGGACATCCATAGGACAACCTATCAGCAACGCTGAGGGATATCAATTGGATGTCCATTGGATGTCCCAGGGACGGACGAATTATTCTTGAATTCGAATTTTTCTGGGTCCCTCTAGGACCAGATCTTGCACAACTGATTAGGATATCCAGTTGAGTTGATGGTCCGTAGAAGGTTCCCAAAGAGTGTCCCAAGGATGTCCAATGGACTTACGTGAAGGACATTGACGAGGAGTACTTATAGCCTACGAGCAATCATTCGTCGGCGAGGTGTAAGTTAACGTCCTCGCAGGGACAACATATTGAAAGTACCGACTGGGACGTCCATAGGACGTTATTACTAGGACATTGGAAGAGTACAGTTCATGTACCACTTGGGACGTCCGACGGATATCCCTAAGGACATTCGAATTTTATACAATCCTGGAAATATTAAGGGCGTTTATGCAGATATATTTGAAGGAATGAACCATCAGGGACATTTCAGGGTTGTCTAGAAAATACATTATATAAGATCTGAAGTCATGCCAGAATATGTACTACTCGGGACATCCGATGGATGTCCCTAAAGGAACGTTTAAAATCATATCCCATCAGGGACATCCCAAGGACGTCCTTGCATGGACATTCTACAATATGTACCACGTGGGACGTCTAAGGGATGCTATTTCTAGGATATTTGCAATGATGTACCAGCTGGGACATTCCGTGGACGTTCTTGCTCGGACATTGCATGAGATGTACGGGATGGGACCTCCCAAGGACACTTATTTTTGGTTCGGGACATTCGGACGTGAATTGTACCAAATAGGGACGTCCCTAGGACGTTGTGTGCTATTAGGGTAATTTCTCTTAGTTTTGAAATTCAAATATTGTTTTTTTATATTATTCAGCATAATATTATGTCAATTCAAAATACAATTTGCTTGATCGAAGATGTATATTGTTATTTTAACATATTCACTCTCTGAAAAACTGAAAATTTTGTCACTTGAATGAAATGATATAGTCATTTCAATCGACGAATCGTTCATGAGAGCAGATATTGTATTATATGAACAAAATAGTCTTTGTTTATTCAACCATTTCCTGCTGTTAATTTGAATCAATAATGAGTCACACCAAATTATTGTTGAATTGAAAACTGACAAAAAACATTTGTTGCGCTGACAAAATATTTTGTCGTGGATATAATATGACACTCAGATTTTGTTGAATTCACAAAAATTTTGTAGTTTCAAATAATTTTTTTTTCTGTGTAATTATTCGACTGGTGTCGTAATTTCAACTACAAAAGAGCCAAAATGCTGAAAGTGGAATGAGATGTTGAATGAATATAGATGCAAAGTCTTTGAACAACAATGGTAGATGACGGGAAAAATAATAACTGTCGTGGCTAATGCCACGCAGAACATTGAATTGCATGCTTCCGAAATCTATGGATCGATTCGTATAAACGAATACTGATGCATATGTTTCTTCTCTGACTGCGTTGTATCTATTTAATAATAATAATAATAATAATAATATATTTATTGTTCATTCATATATACAATACATGAACAAGGGCGGTGGCATGGGAATGAGTGGTCATATTATTTAGTACAATAGAGAGACAGAAAAATAAAATGAAATAGAATAGATGGAAATCAAGTCATAATAATTATCTACCTGCCTGATTGGTGACAAAATAGGGAACACCCCTCAACAACGGTTGGATGATCACATCCAGTTTCGCATCAATATTGATCCTATTCATTAACTATGAATGCTCTAAGTTTCATCGCTCCGCTCAGGAATTGGTACAGTTTGGTGAGTATGGAGAAATCTGTTGATGATAGTATCGAGTCTAAGTCGTCTGAATGTCCTCTAGGTTCGATCATGTTGCTTCTTAGATTTGCATACATCGGGCAGATCAGCAGTATGTGTTCGAGAGTTTCTGGTAATAAGCAATTACAAATTGAACAGATGGCATTTGTTTCTATTTTATATGAGTTGTTATTAACATATATAAATAGCTTTTCAGTGTTGGCTGTTCGAAGCTGAGCTACAATTCTCTTAATATGTAGTGGGCCTGCGTAGCATAAGTAATTAGTATTATCACATTCATTCTGTAGAAGGAATTTATAGATAGGGTGATGAATACTGAGCAGTATTTTATTTTGATCTTCTCGGGTATTTTTGTTTAGGTAACAGGTTAGTATGGTTTGTTTCGTGGTTCGATTGATATCGTTAATGTTCAAATCTAAATCACAGTAGGTAATAAGACAACGGTGCAGATGGTCAGCCCAGTTGTATTTCAGATTATTGTTCCCTGACTCTTGCAGTTGAATTAGATGACGAAGCGCTCGGTGCACATATCTTTTAGAATCTTTGTTTTTTATTCTTAGCAGAAACTCTATGGCTTGTTTTATTATGTGATATCCTATTTTACATGATTTAGTTTCTGTTCTGATTATATGTGCCCCTGTAGTTTTTTGCAAGAATAGAAGATTTCTCCAGAAATTATTTTGTATCTTCTCGGTTTGTTCCAGGTAACGGAGTCCCCATATACTACTAGCATATGTGAAAGTAGGAATTACAACATTGTTATACAAAGTTTTTATATTTTCAAGAGAGGATATTTTAGAGCAATTAATAGTTTTCAAAACCACCCCTTGGGAGAATCTGGCTTTTTGTTCTCGTTGCTTAAAGTTATTCAGGAATAAGCCGTTGAAAGTAAAGGTGACACCTAAGTATTCGTACGTGTTTGACAGATCTATTGCAGTATTTTTATATATGAATTGGGGTTGATAGCCAATATTTGGGCTCCTACGAAATATGACTATTTTTGTTTTTGATGAATTGACCTCAAGTTTCAGATTATCACAATATGACTCAAGAATTTTCAAGTTTCTTTTTAGTTCTATCTGGGATTCTGCAAAAAGTACCAAGTCATCAGCATATAGTAGCATGTTTATATTTTCGCCATCATCTAGAGTTACTCCTTTGGCACCATGTTCTCTAAAGTATTGGCTAATATCAGAGATGAATAATGAGAAAATTAACGGACTAAGAGTATCTCCTTGTAGAACCCCTTTGGTGATCTTGATTTTTTCCGACATTTTACCATCTTGTGCAATAGACAGAGTCGCTGAGCTATACAATAATTTCAGAATTCTAACAATCTTTGCGCTTATACCATTAGCAAATAATTTTCCCCACAGCACGCTGTATTCCAGCGTGTCGAATGCTTTTCTAAAATCTACAAAAAGTGCGAACAGTTTCCTGTTTGGGAGACGTAAGTAGTTATTTATTATCGTTGACAAAACAAAAATGTTGTCATCACAGCTTCTGGATTTGCGGAATCCTGCCTGACACTCTGGTAATAGTTCGAGGTTTTCAACAAAGTTTGTGAGTCTATTGTTAATGAGTTGTGTGAGCAATTTTGTTTTGTGATTCATTAAAGCTATATTACGGTAGTTATTTGGGTCATCTTTTGGTCCTTTTTTATGAAAATGAATCATTTTTATGTTAGTCCAAGAGGGTGGTATCTCTTCCTCTGAGAAAATTTTATTGAAAAGATGTTTTAAGCGCATTATCCAGTCCAGGGGTAGATTTTTGTAAAATTCGTTACTGATGTTATCGTCCCCTGGGGCTTTGTTATTTTTTGCTATGTTTAGAGTCAGAAAAATTTCTGCGTTGGAAAATGCCGTATCTAGGTAAGGGTGCAGAGCGTCTAGGTATTGAGTTGTAATATCTGGGGTAGGTCTATAAAAATTTTTATAATAATTCATCATAGTGTTCGGGTCGATACCGCCTCTAATATTTTTACTCTTATTGAGGTTAATGTATTTCCAGAATTCGTTAGGGTTATTTATAGATTCCAGCTTCAATCTTATACCTTTCTCATATTGATATTTTTTACTTCTCAACATTTGTTTATATTCTTTTTTAGTTATTCTGTATTCCAAGACAGTGGCTTTTTCAAAATTTGATCTACTTAAATTTTTCTTAGCTTTATTCAAAAGTTTTTTGGCTTCCCTACAGGATTGATCGAACCAAGGTTTACATTTTGAGATGATGTTAGCATTAAAGGTTTGCTTTTTTTCCATGCCTAAAAATTTTAGTGTTAATGTGATTGCTTCATGTAATTGAGTATCTAAATCTTCTGTTGAATCTAATTGAGAATTGAGGCCATAATTAGTAATTATATTTCTATATGAGTTTGATTTTGAAGGATCCCATCTTACTATAGTCTTGGTATAGCTTTTTGAGGATGGAATAGCTTTAGTCTGCTGAAAGTTGATTTCTAAGGTCAATACACAAGCCAAATGGTCAGAAATTAGGTTTTTGTTTATAAAGAAGTTTGAAATAAGCTCTTGACTACTGAAGTTTGCCCAGATTAAATCGACCACACTATTGCCACTCGGCCCGACATATGTATAGTTACCCTCGTGATCTTGGTGCCTGCCATTCAGTACATAGAAACTTAGGTTTTCTAGGGCTTCAACAAGTAACGTTCCTCGTGCATTTATTACCTTATCCATTGAGCCACGGGCTTCTAAAGGGAAGTAAAAATTTTGGTGGTGTCGATCCTCGAATCCATTCAGACGACCTATCCTGGCATTGAAATCACCACATATAGCTATATAATCATCAGGGTATTCAGCAATTATATCTCTAATGGTTTCTTCAAATAATTCGATACAGATGTGATCATCCAACCCAGGCTTCAAATATATAAGTCCTAAAATAATATATATATTATCTATACAAAATCTTACAAAGATCCACATATTACTTATTTCAATTATATTTGCATTACTTAACCCTACAATTTTTTTTGATACTAGCAGTAAGATACCCCCACTACCTCTTCCCTTCTGTTTGTCTTTTATAGCTTGACTATGGTACATGTTATAATTTGATAATATTTGCGGTAACTTGGGTTCCGGTGAAGAAATCCATGTTTCTACAAGACCGATAATGGGATACTTTAAAAGGTGCTCACATTCTTCCATTTCTAAATTGTTTATAGTGTTTATACCTTGACAATTCCAAAATAATATATTTAATTTTGTGAATTCGTCGTGAGAGTTATCTTCAGTTATCTCTGAAAAGTTTTCTTCACGGTTAGCTATATTGTTTTTTCTCATTCTTGGTTTTTTACTATTTATAACTCTATCTTCTGTTGTACTTGAATTTTGTTGATTTTCCTTAATCTTCTCAAATTTTCCATCTTCTTCATCCCTTTCTTGGTTTGCTACCGTTTCTAATGTTCTAATAATTGTATGAGTTAGTTTTTTGATGGTGTTTCGAATCTTCCTTCAGTTCTACTCACTTTCCTTGATTCTGCTAATTCAAGTTCTGGGGTTCTTTCGCTGTATTTTCTTCCTCTAGATTTATCAAGTGGTATGTTTTCTTTGGCTACATTACCAGCTCTCATTTGCTTGTTCAACGTAAGTGATTCCACAGTATATGAATCTCCATTTATGTATAGTCTGTTGTAGTTCAAATTAGCTTTGTGCCCTCTTTGTCTTGCTTGTTTCATTTCTTCTTTAAGTATCTTTCTTTGTTCTTGTATGTGTTTTGAGAAATCCTCACTTAGAAATACTCCTGTACCTTTAAGTTTTTTAGCCTCCCTTAGCATTTCATTTCTAAGTGACCCGCTTTTAAGTTCTACCATGATTGGTCGATCCTTATTATCGATACTCTTACCCATTCTGCTGATATCAGCTACATCTTCTCTTTCATTTATTCCTATTTCTATTCTGCTTGCTATGTCTTTGACTATCTTTCTCAAGTTTTCATTAGGGTTGTCTCTTTCTTCTTTAATTCCATAGATAATGAGGTTCTTTTTCCTGATTTCCCTTTCAATGTCATCTATTCTAACTTGGTGTCTCATTTGTTCCTGTTTGAGATCTCGATTTTCTTTTTTTATTTGCAAATTTTCCAGTTTGATATTTCTCAAATCATCATGCATTGCGTTAAGTTTGTCATCAATTTTTGATTCCATATTTTTTATTTGTTTAAGTATTTCCTCCATGGCTTTGTGTCCTGTACAGAGTTATGTATAGCACGTACTCAATTCTGAACTAGACCCCTATCCAGGCTGACAAAGTCAATGGTTCTAAACAAATATATTTTGTTAATTTATTCCAATATTTATTCGATTTTGTTTTTGAAGCCGACCCTGTACTTATTCATCCAGTTCTTGTTGCTTTCTTATCTCTATTCGTTTTTTGCTATTTCGTTGGTTTGATGAATTTAAGTCTGGACTGTCGATTGAATTTGTATTGTTTTAATCGATTAATGAGTAATTAACCTTTCTGATTCAATTCTCGTAGACTATGTTTTTACTCACGTTAATCGAATCCTTTATTGTCCACTGTTTATACTTTTCACTATTTGATGATGCGTTATTCTTCTATTATACGTGAAAAATTACGGATCGAAATGAATGTGTGTATATTCACTCACTACCAGGACCGGACCCCCCGCGTTGTATCTATTTATTTGAATAGTATATTGTTTAACGAGCACGGAATGATAGTGATTTCCTACGAGAATGAAGTTTGCAGCATGAGCCATAGGCGAATGCTGCAATCATCCGAGTAATAACACAATGGAGTCATTGTGATAACATATATGGAAATAAAATTGATGATGTTGAAAGTGCCTCATTGATGTATCGAACACAGTAAAACAAGAGTAATCTTGTGTTATAGCCGTAGAAAAAAGTCATTCCACTTAGAGCATTCTCTCTTTATCGTAGTTTTTATTTCCTTTTCAGAAATCACTGTCTATTTTTGGTTTGCACCGGAACCCATGTGCCCATACAATTAACGATTATTTGCCTCTGAAACATTCGCATAAAAACAAAAGAACAATCCAGACTGTCAAACACGCAAATTTTCGGCGCGCTCGCGTGTAAATGTCACCGAAGTGTTAAAAATCGAGCGGGCCGGGAGAGGATAACAAATGAACAGGTCTTCGACAGACGGCCATCACTCTCTCAGACCATTACCTAGGCCGGAAGTATCTTTTATGTGCGGGCGTTCGTGCTAACCTGCGCTTCCGGTCGGGCCCATGTGCGTCGTTAACGACGCCGTTGCACTCGATTTTTATTCTCTGCGCTAACCGTTGTGTATGTAATTAGTGATTATTGTGTCATTAGGGCACTAGGGGATGAGATATGTCCGACGTAGATATAAAACGGGCAATGGCGAAAGGAGAAAAAAGTTCGTATCCGATTTGTTGATAATGCATGATCAGGCCGCAGGGGAACATTGGAGCCAAAACGGTTGACGTCTTTGTGAACGCAAAATATAGAGCGAATTTGAGTACCTATAGCGACTTCTGTAAGTCGTATGACATTCACATCAGAGACATTTTTTTAACAAAAAAATGTATGTTGCATTCATTTAGAGCGGAGAAATTTGTAAATATTTTCTTTGACTTTATAATTGTTTATAGGTTTCTGTACTTTCAAGAGTTTTTTTCTTTAGAAGCAGTATTCATATTTTAGTTGTATAAAAATAGTGGTTTATATAAATTTCGAACACAACGTCAGAAACTGCCAACTTTTTTTTTTCAATAGAATAGCACCATTGTGGTTTTTCTTCTGAATGAAGTGATGTATGAGCCTATATATAGTTACTCAAGCAAAAAAAGTTCAGCAATATTTTTTATTTTTTGTACGCATTCTGCGATAACAATTTTTCAGTATGTTGCTATAGGATAATCAAGGAAGGAATGTAGTGATCCAAAAAAATTTTTAGGATCTCCAGGGCGTGACAGGGGCTAGCAATATTATATAACTTCCTAATTATTAGGAATCCTGCCACTTACATATTTTAGTATGTCATTCAGAAGTACAAAACAAAGAAATGTACGGTATCAGAATATTTGAATTGGGCCAGCAATATTTTACAACTATCTTACTAGGGATCCTGTTGCTTACATATTCTAGTATGTCATCCAGAAGGACAAAACAAAGGACTGTACAGTATCAGGATATTTAATCGGGGCGTCCAGTGCCGGACAGGAGCCAGTAATATTTTATATAACTTCCTTATAAGGAATAATGACACTTACATATTTCAGGATGTCATTCAGAAAAACGAAAAAAAAAAAAGAAATGTACAGTATCAGAATATTTCATTTGGGCGTCCAGGGCCGGATAGGAGCCAGCAATATTTAACAACTTCCTCATTAGGGATCCTGCCACTTAGGTACATATTTCAGTACGTCATTCAGAAAAACAGAACAAAGAAATGTATGTACAGTTTCAAAATATTTGACCCGGGGGTCCAGGGCCGGACAGGAGCCAGCAATAATTTATACGTAATGAATGTACATATAGGTAGGTACTGATGATATGAATAAACCAAAAAATTTCAATACTTCATCTTATTCATATCAAATTAAATTTTTTATATACATCTGTTATAACAGTTTGTGTTTTATTTCGGTTTTGTATTGTTTTCTATACACTCAGGTCTTATAAATCATTATAATATATCCTATGCAACTGTATTTTGTGATATTTGTGGGTATTTCTGAATCGAGAATTAGGAATATGATTATTTCAGTATGAGAATGTTTGTTTCATTTGTTTTCATCATGTTGGGAATATATCACTTTTCTGTTCACATAAGAGTACATACTGTTTTGACGCCATAGGTTTAATTCATTATCATTCCCTGGAATTCGTATAGCGTATAATATATCTTAAACAGTTTCATTGAATCAAACTGAATTTTCGACAGATGGAATAAATTACGAACTGACAACCTTGGTCCGCGCGGAGAGTGAGTTGACAGGAACTATCATTTGCAGTTGTCAAATTAATTATTGACAGAATCCGATAGATTTCACGTGTGAATAGGACTGTGATGTGATTATAAGTTAGTTTTTTCTGTGACGGGAAAAAAGTTTGGCATTTCATCTCTGTTGGCAGGTTATAAAATGTCACTTTTCATAAATTACTTTTTTCCCGTGGGAAAAAAGTGAGTACTTCTTTCCCGGATATATATCACGTATATATACTCTGTTTATGGCTTTTGTTGTGCTATAGTTCCGAAAAATGAGTCAATAATACCGTCTCCGAGAAAGAACTGCAAGTCCTTTTATCTTCCATTCGACTTCGTATATTACTAAACAACTACTGAATTCGCAATTTTTCAAAATCAAATCACAGAATTGAAGTGACAGAAAGTGACATCAAATATTTGATTACTTCAAAAGAATGATAAAGATGTCTATAAAACGCAGGTGTCCCTACTGTTAAAAACTCGAAATTTCACGTCGATAATTTTCAGATTTCGAAATAATGTAATATCTTCTCAATATTGATTCGTCCTTCCTTCTGTCACAGAAAAGAATAGTGTATTATACACGGGAAAAATATTAGATTTTAGCTCACGGTTTTTTGTCTCCCTCCGCTACGCGTCGGGAGACAACACAACCTGGAGCTAAAATCTACTACTTTTTTCCCTTGTATAATAAATAACTATTTCGAGGTTGACAAAAAATGTAATATGTCCCTCGGCGAAAAACTGTCTATTGTCTAGTGTTGCCATCTAGACAAGACAAGACAAGAGTTTACCTACTCTTGTCTTGTCTTGAAATTTCAAGACAAGAGTTGTATACGCGTAAGTCTTGATTGAATAAGCTGAGTGATATACAGTTTTCACTTGTTGGGATGACAATCAACTATTTTGATATTTTCCTAGATCACTGATATTTCTAGTTGATGGAATGAAAATTCAAAACGTCCTCGATTGATATTCCGTTCATTAGAATTATTGTCTTGATGATTGTTTCGATTCCAACGAAGGTAGGTACGTACATACATCAATCTTGGCACAGAAAATGGTATTCTGTTGGGTGTCTGAACTCTGAAATAATTAGAAATAGAACATCCTAGCGCCATATGGCAGAAAAATGGTACAGTGACCTACAAAATGGAGCATTAATTGAACCCTCTTAAATGAGTTTGCATTTACAACCCTTCACCACATGATGGCCTTTTAGTGTAGGATATAAACACTCCGTTGAAACGGCTTTTTCCGTTTGACCAAGCATACATTTTTATTATTAATTGTGGAACGAGTTGTAGAGAGAAACGATGGAAAGATAGGTTTCATCTAATTGCTATTACCCTCTCAATATCACTCGCACAAACCACCATAATATTTTATAATCTCAATGAATGGTCTCTCAAAACCCATGATAATATTCTGCAAGAGAAGTGGGTGAGTTAAGATTTGTCGAAATAGTTATTTTTGTATCTATATAGTGTGCGAAATGCTACTTTGGTGATCAAGAATTAACAAAGCGCAGCCGAGTTGAAAAAATGGTCGAGAAGAACAAAGTATTTCGCGCATGAGTTGCAAACAAAATTTTTTCTACAAACGTCAAAAATATAGTTCTAGAGTAGGAATATACTCAGCTGAACTGGCTTAAAACACCTCTTCCTATATCCTCCCTAAGTACTAACGATGTTCCACGAACATTATAGGAATTTCCCTTCGTGCACTTCAAGAAATGAAAGAAAATATTGAAAATTCAGAAATAAGTTAATGATTTCTTATAACGTATTCGACTGATTGCACTATTCCACTATTGTGCATTCAATTCAAATTTTTGTCTTTCGTTTGTATATTTGGTATTCGGCTGGTGTGCACTCAGACAGTACCAATATTACCTATTCATCAATTCGCTTCCTGATTGCCTTTCTGATGATTTCAAATTCTTCAAAACAATATCCACCCCACAGGATTTCATCTCGTTACAGACAGGTATATTACAATGTCAGTCATTGGTTCAAAGCTAACAAATTGTCAATAATCATAAGAAAGTGCTCCGTTATGACCTTCTCACGGAAAACAAATATCATCAGATATAGAATAATGAATAATTGATGGTGAAGAACTCGAACCACGTAACGGAATCAAAGATCTAGGAGTCACATTTCAGAGTGATATAAAGTTCAATTCGCATTATAACAATATAGTCCATAAGGCATTCAAATCTTTGAGTTTTGTCATGAGAAATAGAAAATCTTTCAAAATTGAAACAATAATCAGACTATGTCATACATAAGTGAGACCACATCCAGATAATGCAGCACAAATCTGGATGCCTTTAGCACACACACATGTATTAGAACACATCGAGAAAGTGCAGAAGAGGTTCTTACGATACCTTTATGTAAGGAGAAACAATTTTTACCAATACATGGTCCCATATCAGTACATGCTGAGAACCTTTCAATTCACGAGTTTGTTGGACAAAAGAAATAAACAGGCAGTGCTATTCATATACTATCTATAAACTAAATAAATTACAATGACTGTGATTAAATTAAGTATAAACGTTCCTTAAATTAATTTGCAAATCAGAAATTATGATATTTTCAGAACTCAAGCAAACACATAGTTATATTTAACACAAGCGTGGAAGACCTTCAAGAACATGACGTGTGAA